AAAGAGAGCAGAGCATAATGGAAAAAACAAATTAGGCTTTGGAGTCGGAAGCACCACTGTATCTCAACTTTGGCACTTCCTTGTGGGTTGAGTTTGAATTGTACTTAATCTTATTTTCCTCATTTGTAAAATGAGAATAAGAGTCATCCAGTTCTTTGGGTTGTGATGAGGAGCATTCAATGATGTAATGTTTGAAAGCACTCATGTTGAGCACATATTAAATATAAAATAATTTATAATTGTTATCATGGACTACTGGCTTGATCCATTTCAGTATACCAGTAGGTCTGATTTGGGGGTTTTCTTTTTGATTTGGTACAACCAATGTCTTGAATTTTTCTCAAATTATAATGACCTTATGTTGTAGATTAAATAAACACTAAAGTCTTCTCTTAGTCTATATCATAGCAGAGAAACATTGGCATCATTATTTAAAACTGTTTATTCAGTGCCACTGAAGCCAGTTTCGTCACATCTGGTGTCTGCCAGGCAGGAAGTTATGGAAAACCTGTCCATGTCACCTAGGGTTAGGTAGCAGACATTTTGTTTGGCCTACCTGCTGTGTGTCCAGACAGATAGCACTTTGGTAGTCCTTACATTTTTGTCTTTAAAGAAGGCATCTAGTTCAAAAGGCAAAACAAAGACCCTTTAAATGGCTTGAAGACAATGACAAAAGTCAACAAAAGCAAAAAAAACTGTGTTACAAGGGAAATGTAAGTATCAAAAGGAAACAATGGAGCTCCAAGTTTGAGAGATTCCTGGAAAGAGTGGTTTGAGTTGAAAATGAAACAGGTGATAAACATGGACTTTTGGATATTAGTCACTTGTCTACATGTTCTACATAACTCATAGTTATGAATAAGAAATATGTTAATTGTAGCCTTAAGATGAGAATAAGGTGACTCTTAAAATGGAAGAACAAAATTTATTGAGCACCTTTGAGTTGAGAGCATGTTAGCTCTGTTCCTTCACTCATTCATTTCACTCATGTTTTATCTCATGTGCTAGTCACTGTTCAAATATGGCTTGCTTTTCTTTCTTTCAGAAATTGAAACTTTGAGAAATAATTACTCAAAGTTACACAATATGTGGCAGATCTGGAATCAAAACTCATCTGTGTGACCATAAACCAAGCTCTGCTCATCATAGCATGTGAGCTCATTACAAACAAATAAAAGTGATAAACTTCAGAGAAAAGCTATAAAGAAAATTTTCTTCTCCTTAGTAAATCTTTCAGTCCTCCAGTAGTAGGCAGATCTCTCTGTGTTTTTACTTATTGGATATATTAGAACTAGATCTGTGAGGTGAGAATCAGTGGGTTAGTTATAACAAGCTTGGTGAGAAAAATAAATTTGCTATGATAAACATGGTTTAAAAAATGGAACTAGAAGTTTTCTACAAAATGGAAATGCTAACAAATACACTTTCTGAAAAAAATTTTGTAAATTTCAGCATCACAAATCATTTTATGGAAACATTTTGATCATGGCATTCAGTATTATGGGAAATTTTTTATATTTCTTTAGTAAACAGACCTAGAAACTGCACTTTATGATGATAAAATAGCAAATAAGTATAACTTTAATTTAAGTGCTATGGTAATTGGCATGTAAACAATCTCCAATCTTCTTAACTTAACTCCAAACTTCTTAACCATTAGACAAGTATAATGGTTAATCTAAAGCTTTATCTTCTCTAAGCACTAGTACAAATCACATTTTTATCATGATATATCTTAGTAAATTTTTCTCATTGACTATTAGTTGAAAAAGATGATGTTTGGCTCAAATAGAATTTTGATCATGAATGAATTGAACATGTTTGGGGCTTTAAAAAAGGTTTTATAATGTGTGCACCCATGTGTACAAATAAAACTGCATCTATCATCCGTGTATTTATCTATCCATCTATCCTCTATCTCCTCTCCTTCCCCCCTTCCACATCCCCCCCTTCTTTTCCTGCTCTTTAACAGCCCCATTAATGTCCTTCTTTCTCCCTTTCTCCTTTGGATTTCCCTCATTTCTCCTTTTAATTTTTCCTTTCTTATTCATATTTTTGCTTGTTTTTTATCCTTCTCCTTCCTTGATAACAGATTTTTTTGAGAGTTTTCTGCTCTGATTTATATTACTATGAAGTAACAATGCAAATATTACCCAGCCTGATGTTAAAACTAGATCCTTTCATGGGTTCTTGTTCCATAAGAATCTTTTGACATTTTTAGTAAAGAAACATAATTCTTATATCAAGATTTCCAAAGATAAGAAACTCCTCTCAGCACAAAGCATTTTCACGAAGGATAAGGAATTTCATGATTTGGTAAGCAGCAGGAGAGAGAGGCAATTTGGAAAGAACTATCTAATTCTTAAATGGTTTTATACAGCTTATGTCTGAGACCTGCTGGGTTTACAAATTGGTTCATGGATTCAGTCTATAACCTTAGGAATCCTCTAGAACAAAGATAATCAGATGCCAGCCCCCCTGAACATCCAGGATCATCGGGTGAGATCCGAATACCCCATAGATTGACTTCAATTAAAGGTTATATACATTTTATTCTTAATTTAACTGTTATATGAGATGCTTATATATAGAATTATTGTTGTTAATACTATTAATACTTGAGAAATTTCCTAATATCTCTAAGCTTCAGTTGCTTTCATCTCTAAAATTCTACATTATAGGGTTGTTGAATGACTAAATAGATAACGTACATGGATGGCTCAATTAGTTGCCTGATGCATCAGTAAATATTATTAATATTGATGATGATGATGATAAAGCTAAATTCAAAGCTCTGGTACCCATGCTAGGTCTTCATATAATAAACATTTCACGTTCTTAGTTTCAAATATTCAGCTTCTCAGATATCTCCAAGTGGATGCTCCATAGGAATCTAAGATTCAAATTTATTTCAAACAACTTGTATACTTCTATCCCTCCTTCCAGAGCTTTTTACTCCTGTTATCTACTCACCTATCACCTCCCCCTTCCCAAAATTGTGCTCCTGACTGCCTTCTTATCTTGGTGCTTGGCATCCCCACAATGCCATGAGTCTGCTCATCCACTCAGCAACATGGATTCCTCCTGGGTTTCTCCCTGGCCTTTCCTCCCACTCCTCATCCCTCCCATCTCATTGAGTAATTAAGATCTACCTAATCTACCTGCAAATGAAAAAAAAAGAATATTTCCTGCATACTTTTTCCTTAGTAGGCACTATTTTTTATTTTTTTTATTTTTTTATTCTTATGTTAATCCCCATACATTACATCATTAGTTTTAGATGAAGTGTTCCATGATTCATTGTTTGTGCATAACACCCAGTGCTCCATGCAGAATGTGCCCTCCTCAATACCCACCACCAGGCTAACCCATCCTCCCACCCCCCTCCCCTCTAGAACCCTGTTTGTTTTTCAGAGTCCATCGTCTCTCATGGTTCGTCGACCCCTCCGATTTCCCCCGCTTCATTCTTCCCCTCCCGCTACCTTCTTCTTCTTCTTTTATTTTTCTTAACATATATTGCATTATTTGTTTCAGAGGTACAGATCTGAGATTCAACAGTCTTGCACAATTCACAGGGCTTACCAGAGCACATACCCTCCCCAGTGTCTATCACCCAGTCACCCCATCCCTCCCACCCCACCCCCCACTCCAGCAACCCTCAGTTTGTTCCTTAGTAGGCACTATTATAGTTATTTTAGCTCCGTATTACACTTAACTTTCCAATAGATGTTCTGTTTACAGATGAGGAAGTAGTGGTTCACAAAGTCTCCAAAGACAGCTTAGGCCACAAAACCACATTGCCACTTGTAAAAATCTCTCGCTAAATCTTGCCATTCTCCTTTTTTCTCCTTTCCTATTTCCTTTGGCCTATTTCAGAACTTCACTTTTCCCATGTGGCCTTCTACAATAGACTCTTTATGGGTGTCCTATAGTTTTGTCTCCCTGTAATGCATGCTCCACAAACATGCACTTTATTTCTTATCACTTTCTACCCATCAGTTCCCATCCAAAATCTACTCCGCAGTAGACCTTAACTACTTGGAGTTCCTAAATAAACCATATTTAAAAAAAAAATTTAGGCTTCCAGAGTTTTGCCTGTCTAGCGTCTCCCCTGCTCAGCTCAATATCAGGTGATCTCTGTGAGAGTTTCTCAACTCTGGCTGTATGTTACTATCATCAGATATTCTTCTAAGGCATTTAAAAAAATGCCTATGCCAAAAAAACGTGATTTAATTGTCTAGGGTAGGGTCTGATCTTGGAATTTGTTCTGAACTCCTCTGATGATTTTAATGTGCTCAGATGCTCCTTCCCTTTATGTGCTGTGATTGCCTCTACTATAATATTGATCATCTCTTGTTGTAATTTATTTTCAAGTCTAATTTCCCAACTAGAGCATGAACTTCTAGAAGACTTGAGACCACATTATTCATCTTCATGTTCTCTGCCCTTACAAAACAAATATTTGTTGAATTAATGACTCTGTTGTCAGGGTTTTTTGTTGTTTTTTTTTTTTTTTTTTGCATATTTATTGTGTCAAGTACAGACAACACCTATAAAACTTACATTTGTGCATCAAATGAATTTTTATTTTTCTCTCATTTGGTACTTTTAAATTTAAAAACAATTTAACTTATGTGAGATTCTAGAAATGATCATTATTTTGAACAAATTTTTAAAAAATATTTTATTTATTTATTTGACAGAGAAAGTGAGAGTGCGTGAGAGAGAGTACAAGCAGGGGGAGCAGCAGAGGAAGAGGGAGAAGCAGACTTCCCGCTGAGCAGGGAGCCCGATGCAGGACTCGATCTCAGGCCCCTGGGATCATGATCTGAGCTGAAGGCAGACCCTTAAGCGACTGAGCCACCCAGGCACCCCTAACAAGTTTTGTTTTTAAAACAATAGAAAAATAAATCTTAAGGGAACTTAAATAAGCAATGAAATATGTGTTCTGGGTGAAAAAGTTGATTAAAAATTATATATATTTCCGTGAAGAAACATACCAGTACTTATCCTTGTCTTCTCGCTTCTGTTGAGGTGTTGCCTAGAGTTGATCGCTGTCATATTGGTCCTTTTTGAAGGCCTCTCCATTCAAGGTATTTATCATAAGAGCTACCAGAGAAACTCCTATTATTCATTCATTTATTTGTATGCTTTAATTCAACATTGATGATTATGTATTAAGAATTATACTTCATTTTGGAGATTCTGAATCAAAGAGGTCACAGTGTACTTCTAATGCTTTCAGTTCTAAACTGAAAACAAACAAAAAACAACAACCGCACTCATCATTAGCTATGTTGATTGCAGCACCATTCTTAGATTTTCTCAAGTAAGATTTACATTTTAATCCATTTGACAGCACATTATGTACTATGCCATCTTCAGTGAGGACTGTGAACGCCGGATGTTTTAATATGCAAAATGCAAATTTCAAGGAGCAAAATTTTTATTTATTTTCTAGGCTTGCTAATTTTTTGGAAGTAGTTAATTTTAGTGCAGATGCATTTCCCCTTTTTTTTCTTAGCTCTGCAGTATCCCAGATAAGAAATAGTCAGATGCATTTCCAGTAGAGATTTGTTAAGTTTGAACAAACAAAATCTTAGCAATTAGGAGAAAATACCATATGTGTTATTGTAAAAAGTGTCTTGTGATTAGAAATAATAATGGTTTATCAATAATTAAACTTTGCTGGGAGACAGCGGGACAAAGCCACACAAATTATCATCCAAAGAAGTTTACTGATCATGTTAACTTTTGTTGCCCTGTGCACTGTTGGTGGGAATGCAAACTGGTGCAGCCACTGTGGAAAACAGTATGGAGGTTCCTCAAAAAGTTAAAAATAAGGCTACCCTATGATCCAGTAATCACACTGCTTGCTTGGTATATTACCCTCAATATACAAAAACACTAATTCAGGGGCATACATGAACTCCTATGTTTATTGCAGCATTATTTACAATAGCCAAATTATGGAAGCACCCAAGGGTCCATTGATAAATGAATGGATAAAGAAGAGGTGGTATATACACACAATGGAACATAATTCAGCTGTAAAAAAGAATGAAATCTTGCCATTTGCAATAACATAGATGGAGCTCGAGGGTATAATGTTAAGCAAAATAAGGCAATCAGAGAGAGACAAATATCATGAGTTTACTCATATGTGGAATTTAAGAAACAAAACAAACAAGCAAAGAAAAAAAAGAGAGAGAGACAAATCAAGAAACAGACTCTTAACTATAGAGAACAAACTGATGGTTACCAGAGGGGAGAGGGTGAGGGGATGGGGGAAATAAATGAAGGGGATGAAAGAGCACAGTCATTGTGATGAGCACTGAGTAATGTATAGAATTGTTGAATCATATATTGTACACCTGAAACTAATATAACACTGTATGTTAACAATACTGGAATTAAAATTAAAAACTTAATAAAAAAAGAAAATTAATAAAAATAATAGAAAAAACTTAGGCCACTGATCTTTAAAATTTATATGGACTCTAGCCATACTCTCTAGCATCTCCTCTTTCACCTTATATTTTAAATTTTATTTTGCTAATATCATTTATTTTTGCATATAATTTTTCACTGCTGATCATAGCTAAAGGACACATTCATAACTTTAAGAACTATCTGAAATTTCATCTCAGATATGAAACTTCCCCCAACTCCCCAACATGGGTAGAGTGGATCATTTCTTCCTCAATTCTCTTCTTTTTTCTAGAAACTATTACTTGTGATGTAATTATTGGCTTAGGTTCTTGTCTCCCCCTCTTGGAACATAAACTATTTGAAGACAGATTATTTATCTTTGCACATCCAGAATCTGAAACAGTGTTAGAGACATGGTAGTTGACTCAAACCCAAAATAATTATTACATTCAAATATTCTGCAACACTCCCCGTCCTCCCCACCAAATACACATAAAGAAGATACTAAATGCTGTTTTTACCCTATTTTTTCTAGGGCCCTGAACTCTTTAGTTTATCCAGGAGAAGCCATCTCATTTCCAACAGAGACATAAAGTGGCACTGACACTGAAATCACTATGTATACGGGGCTGTCACACTAGATATATTAGGTTGACTACAGTGCCAGGGTAGTCAGGCTCTGTGACTCAGGCTATATTGTTAAGTTGACTTAATAAACACTTTCCAAGGAAAGCTGTACCAATCTGGGACTACTGCTTCTCCTGGCTCACACTTTCCACAAAACTTCAATAGCCAGAGTAGACTTTATTTCTCTGGATGGAGCAGAGGGTAGCCATGGCACAGTCTTGGTTTCCTAATTTATTTTTTGCCATGTAAACAGGGAGCTCAATAGGGTGGAGGACTTGAGAATCCAGTTTAGTGGACAACAATGTATGCCATGGGAGTTAAATGATCCCTAAGTCCTAAATTGAATAATCAATTAAGAAGTCATTACTGTTGGAGCATCTGGGTGGCTCAGTCGGTTGAGCGTCCAACTCTTGGTTTTGGCTCAGGCCATGATCTCCGAGGTTGTGGGATGGAGCTATGAGTAGGGCCCCTGGCTCAGCGGGGAGTCTGCTTGAAAGATTCTCTCCCTCTGCCCCTCCCCCCACTTGTGCTTATGTTCTCTCTTTCTCTCTCTCAAAATAAATAAATAAATCTTAAAAAAAAAAAGGAAGTCATTACTGTCCCTTACTATATGCCAAGATCTATAAAAAATGCTGGATGATAGTGAATCTCTCTTCTTTTTCTTTATTTTCTTTACTTTTTCACCCTTATTTTAGCAGTTTCTTCCACATTCCTTCTGGGTCTTGCCTCAATTTTTTTCTCTTGAGCTGGGTATAATAAAATAATGTCATTTGGATTTATTTTCATCTTTTATTCAATGAAAATTAAGACATGATCAAATTGATATGCTGGGGAGTTGCTGTTTCCCTTAGAATTTTGAAAATAAATATACCACTTGAGCATGTTAGGCTCTTGTGTTTAAATGTTTAACAATTATTTCATTGACAAGTCAATTTCTCTTCTCAGCCAGACTGCTTTCCAGTGCTCTCTGATCCCATTCCTTCCAAATCTTATCACCAAAATTGTTATTGAGCACAATTCTCTACCTCTCACACAGTGGGTAATGTGTGAATATATACTTACGTAAACATCTTCAAAATCGATTCTTGTTGGCTGAGTACAGGTGAAGGTAGTTAAATGTTTATAACTGTTTATAAATGTTTATAAATGTTCTGATTGAAATTTTCACGGGAGCATGGAGGAATTCTCCTTAAACCAGACTGAAGCACCTTTGACATCAACGCTAAATCTTGAAAGGTAACCCAAGACTTGATAGTACAAGGGTGCCAGTCTCTTCAGAAGAATCCCACTGAAGGGAGAAATCGTGCATCTAGAGACTTCTTGAGTGAAAGGAACCCAGGAAATCAGAGGTGTTTAGGACTTTAAGAATGGCTGACCAATAAAATACCTCAGAAAGGTGACCTGTGCATTAATAATAGGATCTGGGATGTGTGAGATTGAAGACAGACTGGGTAGGGAGCTCTCTGACCTAGGTGTCTCCATCTCACATTGTGCATATGAGTTGTGGTTCGTGGCCAGTTAAATTGAGTGTTTTTAAAACCATGCTGACTCCAAACTATTGTGCTAGCTCTCTATTTTGCCGAATTTAAATCTTAGAATTTGTGCTCTGAAATCCTACATGGCTTGGATTTGGTCTTACTCTAATAGTCAATTTCTCCTTTCTTTTCATTTATAGTCTTCTTACAGTTTATGGTAGATTTTTACAAAAACAGCTACCATAATTTACTATCCTATGTCTATACCCTCTGCGAGTGCTTTTCCACACTGACTCTGAGCTTGCCCATGTGACCTATTGACCAACAGAACATTAGCTAACTTGAAAGAAACCTATGTTGAAAGTATTTGCACATTGGGGCTCGCCCTCTTCCTGCTCTTGGAACTCTACTGCTATGTGTGGAAAACTATGCTCTAGTTAAAGGCCGGTGTGAAAGGCCATCCTTGCTAATACACCCACCATTCACCCTGCCAGCTGAATGCAATGCCTGAGAGAACTCAGTAAAGATCAGCTTATTTTCAGTGTCATAGATTGCCAGCCCAGATCAAAGAACCACTAGAATGACCTACAAACTACAAAATAGTGAACTAAAGAAATGGTTGTTGTTTTGAGTGACTATGTTTGGAGTGAATTTTTTTTTTTTTCAGCAAAAGCTAACTGATAAAGAAAATGATATCTAGACTTGGGATGTTTCCATAACAACAACAACAACAACAACAATAAACACGTGATAGTGGCTTTGGAGACCATTCTGTGGGCAGAAGCCATAAAACATCTTGTGAAGTCTGGAAGATTGGCAAGCAAACTGCTAGTGGAGGATGGAAAGTTTGTGACATGTATGAGATAATCTTATGAAACAACTCACAAAACTATTGCCTGGAGTAATTTGGAAGATAAAAAAATGTGGACATTGGCAAGATAACTTTCAGAAAGACTTTAACATTTCTATTGGCTTCTTTTAGTTGTCTATGATAATTTATAGGAAAAGAAAGATGAGCTAAAGAAAGAGCTGATCAACTTGCAGGAAGAATTTATGTAGAACATGGGGGAGCCAGCATGTGCTGGATTAACTGTTTCTCATTTGCAGTCTCTCCAGCCATCCAGAGTCCCAATGTAAATTAAAACCTGAGGGTGTTTTAAAAACTCAGGACACTTCCAGTAAAACATGGCTTCTGTATCAAGATCAAATCAAGGATATCTGTGAGATCCTTGTTAGGACTCTAAAAAAAAAATTTAAGGTGATATCTAGTGGACTTTCTCAGTTAGACAAAAGCGCTTCGAAGATTCTAAAAAACATTGCCTCACAAGCAGCCCAAAGTAGAGAAAGGCCTGTCTTGAAAATAACCGTTGGAATGACTTTTGTTAAAATATGTATAAAAAGCACACACAGTTTTTTTTAAGATTTTATTTATTTATTTGACAGAGAGACAGCAAGAGAGGGAACACAAGCAGGGGGAGTGGGAGAGGGAGAAGCAGGCTTCCCGCCGAATAGGGAACCCGATGCGGGGCTCGATCCCAGGACCCTGGGATCATGACCTGAGCTGAAGGCAGACGCTTAATGACTGAGCCACCCAGGCACCCCAAAAACAGCACCCACATTTTTGAAGGAAGCTGTATCAGTCTAAGACTGCTTAGACTAGAAGAAACTGAGTCACTTCAAATGAAAAAGAGGCCTCTGGACTTCCAAATTTCTATTGGGAGCCGACTTAGAAAACTACTTAACTGCCAATCTGGGCCATTTACTTTTTATAGAAAATGAGAATATCTCAGAGGGAGGAGCCAAAAGCCAAGGACACAGAACTAAGAGTCATGGAAAAGAGATTGCTTGCAAAATGGCGAGTAAAATTCCTATTCCACTCCTTGTGATTCTTGGTAGTGTCCTCCCACACTGCCTTGGGGCTTGTCATGTGACTTCCATTAATGGATGTGACATTAGCAAACTTGATCTAAACAAGTACTCTTTTTTTTTTTAAGGATTTTATTTATTTGAGAGAGAGAGAATGAGATAAAGCATGAGAGGGGGGAGGGTCAGAGGGAGAAGCAGACTCCCCACTGAGCAGGGAGCCCGACGTGGGACTCGATCCCGGGACTCCAGGATCATGACCTGAGCCGAAGGCAGTCGCTTAACCAACTGAGCCACCCAGGTGCCCCTAAACAAGTACTCTTAAGAGTACTTGTTCACTGGGACCCATCTTTTTCCTGATCTTGGATCTCTGCTTCCTCAGTGTAAGGAAGTGTAGCCAGCCTATTTAATGAGTGAAACTTGGCCTAGTCACCCTTGTCACTCTACATGTCCCCTCCAACCACTAGACCTCTGAGTGAGGTTCTGTTGAAATACTGAGTCATGGTCAGCTACCCTCCTAACACATGGGACACTTCTGAGGCTGTAAGCTAGAACCACACAGGCAATCTACAGAATCATGAGCTAATAAATGGTTACCATTTGAACCACTAAATTTTGGGGTATTTTGTTACACAAAATAAGCTAAGTGATGCACACCTTGTCTAAGACATTTATCATACTGTATTTCTTTTTTTTTAATCAAAGCATAGTTGACAGACAACATTATATTAGTTTCAGGTACACAACATTGCAATTCAACAAGTTTATATGTTACGCTATGCTGACCACAAGTGTAGCTACCCTCTGTCACCATACAACACTATTACAATACCATTAACTATATTCCCTATGCTCTACCTTTTATTCTTGTGACTTATTTATTCCATATCGTATTATATTTTAATTAACTGCTTAGAGGTCTGTAACCCCTACTGTACGATCATCACCATGCTTTAATAGAACACATCATGTCTCAGTCACCTTTTTATCCCTAGCAACTGGTATAGTGTCTGGGAGATAATTAGGAAGGGAAATGTGATTGCCCTTGAAAAATATAAAACTGGGGCGCCTGGGTGGCTCAGTTGGTCAAGCGACTGCTTTCGGCTCAGGTCATGATCCTGGAGTCCCTGGATCGAGTCCCGCATCGGGCTCCCTGCTCGGCGGGGAGTCTGTTTCTCCCTCTGACCCTCCCCCCTCTCATGTGCTCTCTCTCTCAGACTCTCTCTCTCAAATAAATAAATAAAATCTTTAAAAAAAATATATATATAAAACTGATTGTGTCACTTCCCTAATTAAAATTCTAAGCTCTTTGTGCATGCATACAAGATATTCAATAAATACTTTTAAAAACACAAGTTAAGCTTTTAAAATGCCTTTTTGTTGACAAAATTAATGATTCTTCATCTCTACCTTCCCCAGCTCTAAGATGGTTACTGAATTTATGAAAAATTTATTAACAGCTAATATATATCTGGCATACGATGTGCTATCATTCTAACAAGGCAAACAGGATTTAAAACAAATACAAATATAAAAATAAGTATTACAAATGCAATAATGAGCATATATATTGAGTACACTGACCAACACAAAGGAGCATGCCTCACCTGGGAGGAGCACAAGGAAACACTTCAGCTGTGCTCAGTGTTGCATTATGAGGCCGTGCTGGTTGGGAAGAAGAAGTGAGAGGAGAAGCAGTTTTGGCAGAAGAAGCAGCGTGGATAGATCCCAAGTGGCAGGAAACTGCAAGGAACACAGGGGTATAAAACATTTTCTATGGTTGCATTGTAGGGGTGAGAAGGTCAAGTGCAATTCTTGCCTAGAGAGGTGAGACAAGGACAGATTACGACAAACTGCTCCTGACACCAAGGGGCTTGGGAACATGCCAGTGGGCTTACTTGGAAAGGAAGAAGCAGAGGCACGCCATGATAAAATGTCTGTGTTAGACTAAATAGTCCCAAAGTAGTAAAATATGGCAGAGGTCGTATCGTTTTCTATCCATCCAGATGTAAATGCTAGAATAAATGGAAGGAGTATTATGGATTTTGTTCCCTTTTTCGAATAAGACTAAGACTAAAACTTTTTAAGTATGCACATCAATTCAGCACTGTTCATAGTGGAATGAATCCAAGTTCCCTGGGAGAAGGGAAGTTTTGCTGATGAATTATCCTTGTCAAATGCTTAATGCTATGGTGTGCACCCAATGACTTAATTCAAATTTGTTGATGCTCACGAAGTAAACGTTCAGTAAATTTATATTTGAAATGCAACGTGTTTTTCTGCTTACTTTCCAGGCATGGAGAGTGTTTAGATTGCACAGATTTTTAGTTCAGTTGTGATAGAAAATTCTTTCTCAATTTCAAACTGCATTTAAAGGGAACATGATCTGTGACTCTCTAAAAGGTTATTCCCAGAGCTCATACTTGAAGGAATTTATTGTGCTTTGTGTTTGTACTATCATCATTTTGTTTAAACATGGTCTGACTCTCTTCCATTTTGTATTTCTGTTTCTCCTTAAAAATTCAATCTTAAATGTGCTGAGTGAAATCGGTAGTTTAATAAAACTGCGAGGTTGGATCAGTTAGAAGGTCTCTATTGTCACAACTAGAGAAAGAGAGCACTTGCCTTCTCAAGTGTGACTAATGACCACACACAACACAAAGAGAAGTGATTTCAACAAGAGGACTGCAAAACTTATCTTTATGAGTAGGAATGCCTAGCCATTAATAATGTTCTGCGATAGGTACTTCCGCTAAACACATCCTCAGATGCCACTCTTTCTTTATAGGGAAAGTTACTTTTTTTTCTCCTTCCATCTAATAAAGCTAAGTTCACATGTGCTGAATAGTATTGTCTGAAGTGTCGTTACACAGGGCCAGATAACACAGTATAAAACTGACATCTCTCAGGTAAGATATCACCATCGTGGGTACAGCCTTATGCTTACTAATTGCCCAGGAATCTACCTCCAGTATTTAGGAATCTAAGAAAGGAAAAGGTAGAGAAATTTTCAGTGAACAAGGAAGAAAATATTTATATGACCAGAGATGGGACCTGTTGGTAGAAGGGTGAAGCCTGGTGAAATAAAAATGAGGATCACTAAGGGCAGAAGTCCTGGGGTTGAATTGTAGAGGTAGGCCAAAGGAAATATAATTCTCCCTGGTTTAATTGGGCATTGAGGCAAAATAAACAGGAAATGTTTTTATGTCCTATGCTAACTATCATACCTATTATACTGAGAATGATGCCAGAATACAAAGGTGAAGAAACACATTTAAGACTGGTACAACGGGGCACCTGGGTGGCTCAGTCGGTTAAGCGTCTGGCTTCGGCTCAGGTTGTGATCCCAGGGTCCTGGGATCGAGCCCCGCATCGGGCTCCCTGCTCAGCGGGGAGCCTGCTTCTCCCTCTCCCTCTACCTGCCTCTCTGCCTACTTGTGCTCTTTCTCTATCTCTCTGTCAAATAAATAAATAAAATCTTAAAAAAAAAAAAAAAGGACTGGCACAACTTTTCAAAGTTCAGCTCTCAGACTCCTAAACTTTCACTGGATAAGTTGCATCCCTTTTTGGTTACTGGACCATCATTTAATTTAGTTACAGTCCCTGTATCAATCAGAATTTTTTTAGACCAGATTTCATTAATCTGGGGTCCATGAGTAATGGATGGTTTCTGAACATCTGGGAAGCAGGGTGGGGATTTTTCCTTTCAGGTCACTTCCTGCTTTGATAAAAATTGCCTTCCTGGGAACAAACAAGGTAATGTGCACATCTATAATAGAACAAGGCAAAATAAAAAGCAGGAAGAAGCAAAATAGAAAGTACAACAGTTTAACATAAATTATGTCATTCAGGTATGGTTTTTATTTAAAAAAATTATAGAGCATCATGGGATGGATTGTTCCAGTTATGTAGGGCACAATTATCATCACTTTGGGATACTTCATCAATAACAGTTTTGAGTTGGAAAAATAAATTTTACTGTCCATTATAATCATGATTATCTGTCTCTGCTTACATTAGCCTGCTTTTAAATTGGAAAATATTAATAAAGAGGAAGTGTTTTGGAGTTATCTGTCATCTAGTTTCTAATTCAATTTACATATATGATAGAACACAAAAGTTACCGATTCTTCTTGTATGGTAAGATATTTGCCAATTAGCCCATGAGGTACAGGTGAGGATGTCTCTAATTAGTCTATCCCGAAAATACATTGGATGGTGTAAGATATTTTTGTGAGAAAGAGGTTTAATTTTCAAATCCTTGAGTTTTTGTTAAAAACTTTGAATTTACCTCTAAAAATCCCTGGTGGGGATGTGACATGTAACCCATGTCACAAGATTATTTATCCTCTTCCTAAAGAAGGAAGCCCACCATCAAAATGAAGTCCTGGTTACAACGAAAGTGCTTGTGGGTTGGAGCAGAAGAAGAAAATGAAAGCTTCTGTCACATCAAAACATACACCTAAAAACTGCTGATGCTGTTTTTTATATGCAAATGGGTCAGGTCAAGGAGGACATGGTGCTCATGACATTTCAGACCTGTAACTGAGTGAACTTCAACTCCAGGCGTTCCTTTGTATGTATAGCAAGCTTCTTGTTTCAATTCCTGTTTTTAGTAAATATTTTTTGAATAAATAAATAAACTGCAAAGGCTGCAGATAATAATAATAGTTTTTATGTTATATAAATACTGGATTTAATTTCCTAATATTCTGTTAAGGATTTTTGCACCTATTTTCATGAGCGTTATTATACCAATAATTATTTTCTTTATTAAGTTCTGGTAGTAAGGTTATACAGGATTCATAAAATGAGATGAGAGTTCTTACCTCCTTTATTTTCTGAAGGAGTAAGAAGGGTGTGATTTCCTTCATAAGCCTTTGATAAAAATCACCAATAAAACTAAATGGGTCTGACGCTTTCTTTGTGGGAAGGTTTGTGGTAAGAATAAATTAATTACTTTAGTGGTAGTAAAGCTATTCAGATTTTCTTATTTATTTTGTGTCAATTTTGGTAAATTATATTTTTCAAGGAATTTGTACATTTTATCTAAGTTATCAAAATCGGTGGCTTAAAGTTGTTCATGATATTTTCTTAACTGCCTTTTAATATATATAGGATTTGTAGTGATGACTACACTTTCTCTTCTGATATTGGTAATTTGTGTTTCTCCTCTCTTTTTTTCTTAATCCATCTAGTTAAAAGTTGATTAAATTGATCTTTTCAGAGAATCAATTTGGGGCTTTGTTAATTTTCTCTATTGTTTGTTTTCTATTTGACTAATTTCTACATTTGATTATTTCCTTCTATTTATATTGGTCTTTTTTCCTAATAATTTTTTTTAAAGATTTTTATTTATTTATTCGACAGAGAGAGAGAGGGAACACAAGCAGGGGGAGTGGGAGAGAGAGAAGCAGGCTTCCCACTGAGCAGGGAGCTCGATGCGGGGCTCCATCCCAGGACCCTGAGCTCATGACCTGAGCCGAAGGCAGATGTTTAACAACCGAGCCAATCAGGTGCCCCACTTTTTTGCTAATAATTTAAAGCTGAAGTCTTTTTTCCTAATAATATAAAGCTGTAGATTTCTCTCTGAGCACTACTTTAACAGGAACAAAACTTTTTGATATGTTGTATTTTAATTTTCATTTGCTTAAAAAATTTTAAATATCGCTTTTGATTTTTTACCCATGAATTACGTAGAAGTTTAATTTACAAATATTTGAAGTTTTCTAGAGATTTTATTGTTATTGACTTCTAATTTTATTCTGTAACCAGTGAACATATTATGCAGGATTTTCATTCTCTTGTAGTCTATGGAGACTTTTCTTTAGCCCAACATGTGTTCTGTCTTAGTGAAAATACCATAAGCACTTGTAAAGAATGAGCATTCTGTTGTTATTCAGTATAGATTTCCATAAATATCAATTAGGTCAATGTTGATAGTGTTCAGATCTTTTATATCTTTACTGATTTTTTTTTTTGCATAGTTCTTCCACCAATTTTTGAGAGGGCTACTAGAATCTATAATCATTAATATAGATTTACCTATTTTTCTCTTTAATTTCTGCCAATTTTAGCTTCATGAACTTTTCATTTGTTATTAGCTATAAACAGATTTAGAATTATATCTTTCTTATAAATTAACTCTTTTGCTATTATGAATTATTTCTCTTTATCTCTGATAATTATTTTTGTCTTGATATTTTTTCACTTTATCTGACTTTAATATACACACTCTGACCTCCTTAATCTTATTGTTTGTATGGTATAATTTTTCCCATCCATTTTTCTTTTTTATTTTTTTAGACAATTTTTTAAAAGATTTTATTTATTTATTTGACAGAGAGAGACACAGAGAGAGAGAGAGAGAGCACAAGCAGGGGGAGTGGGAGAGGGAGAAGCAGGCTTCCTGCTAAGCAGGGAGCCCAATGCGGGGCTCCATCCCAGGACCCTGGGACCATGACCTGAGCAAAGGCAGACGCTTAACGACTGAGCCACCCAGGCGCCCTTCCCATCCGTTTTTCAATATATCTGTTTTATTACATAGAGTAACTATGTGCTGGAGACAAAAAAAAAAAAAAAATGTTTTCTTTTAACTGAAACTTTTTTCCTTCTTCATTTTTGAAGGCTATATAGAGTTCTGGGTTGATAACTTTTCTTTCATCACTTTAAAGATGTTGATCTGTTCTCTTTTGGTCTCTATTGTTTTCATGAGAAT